ATGCAGATGTAATTTATCATCATACCCAGGACGGTTTATGTTTTGTGTATGGAACTGAAACTAGCAGATATACATTTGTAGAAGTTTCAATGGGAAAAGGGCATTAGTTAAACAGGTAAATCAAACCTTGTGCTATTGATATGGACACCATGACAACAAAGACTGTTTCAGGAATAGAAGTAGTTTCACTGATGGAAAAGACCATACGTGTTCAATTTCTGTTGAAGTCACAATCTTTCTGTTGTATAACTTCTCAATCGAAGCTGATTGTTATTAAATTTCTGTTCATGAAATTATAAACAAAACATGGATTGCAATAAGAAATATATGTATGTGTATAAATTATAAAATATATTTTTAACAAGAAAATTGTCAACTGCAAAATTATTTAACAATTATTTTTATAAGAATATCTTTTTTAAAAATGTTTTTATAAAATGGAAAACAGTTTAGCAATGATTAACTTAAAAAGAAAAATACAAAACATTTTAGCAACATCTAACATTTTAAAATACAACCTTCACCTGCAAAAGAATAAACTTAAAATGGTAGCAAATTTTATAAAATAAATTCAAAAGGAGATAAATTTCTTTTGTTGAAGGGAATCAGAATAATTGATAAAATTTTTGTTTGTTACTTCTTCAAAGAATTTATGTACCTGATTAAGAATATTCCCGATGTGAATATAAATTAAGTTGGCAATATTTAATTAAAGAATTCTGCCATCCTTCAATTTGGGTTTAAACTTTTTTTTCTACCATTTTGAAATTTTTGTTTTCCATTTTGTGCTTTACAGGAAATGAATTTTTCACTTCCTTTTATAGGATCTCTATCTTTTATTCATAAGATTATATGCAGACACACAGATACACAGACACACATGAAAATATTCCTATTCACATACACAGACAGATGTACACACATACATATACTTATGTAAACCCACCATTAGTTTTCTAAAAATCAAGAAAAATTAAAAATATCAAATACTTTTATATATATAATTTGTGCTTTTTCTTTTACCAAGTTATTGTTCTGCTATTCCAAAATTTGATTAACTGCTCTGAGAGGATGAAGTAAATCAGTTGTTCTATGAAAAATTCACTAATCAAAGGAAATATTTTTGGTTTTTGTGCCAAATTCCTTGCCACCGTTTTCCTAGTTCTGCTTCTATCTTGCACAATTGCTGCTCTGACTATTGTCTATTCTTTTTTTGTTTTAATCTTTTCACTCTGAGCAAGGTGATAAAGCCACTAAGACACAAAGAGTTACTGGGACATTAGAAGGAATCAGAAATCCAATCAGAAACAAGGGAAAAAACTTCTACTCCTGTTCAGAAAACCAGGGAGGAGTGTGAACAGGGCGATAGCTGAAACCCATCTACTATTTAGTGTAAACCAATGGAAAAAGCAATGAATAAAAACCACAACATCTATGTTTTCAACCTGTTAGGGTTTTATTATTTCATATTTTCTACTGATGATGAAGATGGGATGATTGAAGTAATATAAATAGTGAACATAATACCTCATCTCAGAAATATAGACAGATACTGAAAGGCCGAAACGTTGTAATAAATATAGCGACAAAGATAAGGACAATAGTCCGAATAATATAAATAGTGTACATAATACCTCATCTCAGAAATATAGAGAGATATCGAAGGGCCAAAACGTTGTAATAAATATGGTGACAAAGATGAGGACAATAGTCCAAATAATGTAAATAGTGTACATAATACCACATCTCAAAAATATAGACAGATACTGAAGGGCCGAAATGTTGTAATAAATATGGCGACAAAGATGAGGACAATAGTCTGAATAATGTAAATAGTGTACATAATACCACATCTCAGAAATATAGACAGATATTGAAGGGCCGAAACGTTGTAATAAATATGGCGACAAAAATGAGGACAATAGTCCGAATAATGTAAATAGTGTACATAATACCACATCTCAGAAATATAGACAGATACTGAAGGGCCGAAAAGTTGTAATAAATATGGTGACAAAGATGAGGAGAATAGTCCGAATAATGTAAATAGTGTATATAATACCACATCTCAGAAATATAGACAGATACTGAAGGGCTGAAAAGTTATAATAAATATGGTGACAAAGATGAGGAGAATAGTCCGAATAATGTAAATAGTGTACATAATACCACATCTCAGAAATATAGACAGATACTGAAAGGCCGAAATGTTGTAATAAATATGGTGACAAAGATGAGGAGAATAATCCGAATAATGTAAATAGTGTACATAATACCTCATCTCAGAAATATAGATAGAAGTTTTTTAGTACTTGGGAAATGTGAATTTATTCTTTTCATTTCCATCTTTTTCACATTTTCATTCAAATTTGATAGGTCAACAATTTTCCTGAGGATAGAAATGAAATGTAATTTCTCTGGTACATCTTTCCTTAGAATAGATCATAAAAACTGTCTTAGTCCCTAGCTGCATTGATAAACCTTTTGATCCTATGTAACTGTAACATTTTGCAAGTTCATTAATAGGAAATAATAATAATAATAGTTGATAATTTTCTTTCAATATTTCTTCTTTTTCTGATTAACCCTCATCAAGAAGAATTAGAAAATAAAATTGGATTGAAAAATATCCAATAAATCAATAAAATTCCAATGGACTTATCTCACTTGACAGACTCCAGAGAGTCACATCAAAATGTTTGTCACTGTCAGATGTCTGATAAATTTATTGAAAATATCAGATCTTTTATTTATAATAGGAACAAATGCAAATCATAAATTTCAAATTTTTATCACATTCCTCATTAGGTGCATGCATGGGTGATCATGTCTCATTTCAATTCACAACTGACTTGGCAGAAGAATTCTTGCAGTAGACTCTGTCATTACATTACCCCGCCTGTCCTGCTATTTAACCCATAGCTAGGTGGAGAAGAGATAAATTCATACCTTTCCCAAGGGTATTTGTGCAGAGCTGAATGATATAAGAACTTAATTTGAATTTGACTCTGATTTCTCATTCTGAGCCATGATCACCCAAGCATGTATCACATATGGCACATAATTAATATGAGGTCTGATAATTTCAATTGATTTATCATAACATATGTCACTGATATGCATTTTGATGTGAATCGCTGGAGTCGGTCAATGAGTCCATTGAAATTTTATTGATGTATTGAATATTGTTGCTCTATCTTTCTCACATATCCTTATAAACTATACTTCTTATCTCCTCCTCTTACACCCATACAAAAACCTCATTTAGTAAGCCTCTACCTTGAGTGGCATTTGGGCCTTGTACTGGGTGAATATTAGTAACAAAAGAATCATCTATTAAGCACTTTTTAACAGAAGATCTGTTGAAATAAAAATGTGTTAAATTATGTTATTTTTCACAAAGTTTTTTAAAAGTTGTATTCTTTTTATTAATTGAAAAATATAACATTTTTATGTACCCATAAATTTGTAAGTCAGATCAGAATTAAAAAAAAAACTAAAAAAAATCTTTGAGACTCAAGTCTTCTTAAGTGACTAATTCTTCAAGATGTCATTCTTCTTAATCTTAACTGCAATGATGTTGTAAAAGGAATTCAGTCTATCTGGTGCCTTCAAGAACTAAGAAAAAACATTGACAAATGGAAACACCAATATTTCTGTCTTTCTTAATGTCTCTCTAAAAAAACTAAACAATGATATTTAGAAAAATATATTCCAATTACTTTGATTAAGATCCAATTTGTTTTTACCATCAAAGTTTCAGGTATAATATATCTATCTAATTCTGTTCATTGCCTGTCTGTCTATTTATCTATTTATCTCAGTCACTTCATTATCTATCTATCTATCTATCTATCTATCTATCTATGTCTGTTCATTATCTATTTGCTTGTCTATCACAATCTGTTCTTATCTATTTATCTATCTCAGTCTCTTCATTATATATCTATCTATCTATCTATCTATCTCATTCTCTTCATTATCTATCTATCTATCTATCTATCTATCTATATATATATATATATATATATATATATATCCATCTATCTCAGTCTCTTCTATCTATCTATCTATCTATCTATCTATCTATCTATCTATCTATATCAGTCTCTTCATTATCTACCTGTCTCTTTATTATCTCTCTATCTATATCTCTATCTATCACAATCCGTTCTTATTTATCTATCTATTTATCTATACTAAGCTTTTCTTATTAAAACATATGTGTTGTGCATCTAGTGAGGTTTGAACTTACAACCCATTTGTAATCTACAGGACTGACTTGATTACCCACAGTGATTTCATTATGATTCTATCTTTTATCATGGTGAGATGCTTTTTTGTTAAGGAAATCTTTTTAAAGTTTGAAATTGTAGAATAAAGCAATATTCAATCCCATTTGCAACTTAATAATAATAGTCTGAGAACTGTATTTGTGCTCACCCCACTAATAATGATCCATTTTATTTTGTCTGTGTGTTTGTTACAAAAGTTGAAAATAAAATCAGATTAATACTGAAAGAAGAAAAGAAATGAAAAGAGTTTATAATTTTTGCTTAAATTTGTGATAAAAAGAAAATAGTGATACCTTAATTTTACAAAAAAAGATTTTGCTATAGATTTTTATATAAAAATATAATTTATTAAAAAGATAAATCTACAATTATTTCCCCAGATATTAAAATAATGACATTTGAAATGAAAAAAAAAATCAATAATTTGAGCATTCTCTTTCTTTTCTTTTTCTTTTTCCTCACATACATTTTTACACATTTAATATTTTTTCCTAATTGGACTACAATCTTAACCTGTTCAAGTCTAGGGTTAACCATTATCTCCCCCACAATATCGCTATAAACTGTACCACTTAATCTGTAGCCCTCTATTTCAAGTGGCCTTGTACATTGTAAAAATATTTCCTCTAATGCTCATAAAATCCTGCACTAAATGCTACTAATAATTCTAACAGATTATCATTTCCAAATAAACTAAGATATAACTTAATAGATAGATAGATAATGAACAGAGAGAGATTGGGAAAGAATAGATAGATAGATAGATAGATAGATAGATAGATAGATAGATAGATAGATAGATAGGTAGATAGATAGATATGGCCACCTGAGATAGATAGATAGATAGATAGATAGATAGATAGATATGAATGGACTAAGGTAATTGTTCAGGATACCTTTCTTTGTTGGTACCTTCATAGTATTTGATTGGAAGTAAGGTCCCATAATTCCACCGTTGAAATTGAAACTTGTAATCATAGCTTTTATGTTAATAATTTCTTCTCCCCTACGTCTTGCTTGTGGAACTCTTCCAGATTTCCTGATTTTTTGTTAACTACGATCTTCAAAAATGTAAATGCAATGACAATCATTGTCTTCTGTTTCCTTGAATCCTATTCTTTTATCGTCCTTTCTGTTTCCTTCACTCTTAGTAATGCCTTGCATCTTAGTGGCTTTATTGCCTTGCTGGTGTGGACTGATTTTACAAAATAAATAAATAGAGATGAACAGGCTGAAATGTAAAGAAAGATGGAAAGAAGTGAAAAGAAAGAAAGAAATGAAAAGAGAGAAAGAAGGAAACAAATGAAAAAAAATAGAAAGAAATGGATATGGCTTGATAGGTAAAGAACTACTAAATACCTTTGAACAGAATGTAATAAATCAATCTATAATCAGGTATGGAAAATTTTACGTGAACTCAAATTTACTGACTGCTCTCTAAAAAAAAAGGAAGATTGTTTAGCACTAATTTTTCAGAGAACATTAAAATCAATATTTGAAATTCAGATGATCAGCAAGATATGAATACTGATTCACCCATGAAACAACTTAGAAATATATTTTCAAAAGAAAGAAAAAGAGGGAGGGAGAGTAAAAGAGAGAGAAACAAAGAAGAAGCAGAGAGAGGGAGAGAAGAGAAAGTTAAAATACTTTTAAAACATAGGAGACAGTTAATATTTGATTAACAAATCTGTGTGTGAATTTGTTTAATATTTCATGTTTTCTTTTATTCAAGAATTTTTTTTTTTTTGCTCTACACATTTTTTTTTCATCCATGTTTAAATTTGATTCAAAGTTGTAACTAAATTTGTTCATTCAAGTAACAATTTGAAGTTTCATACTTTAATACAATGTAAATTTATATAACAAATTCTTGTCCTGAAATTTGTGCCAGCAATTGCGTCTTTCAAGAGTAGACAGGTGCCATCATACTTTCTGCTTTCTGGGATGACTGGCAATATAGTAATTGTGAGTTCAATCCCTAGGTCGGGCTGTGTGTACTTTCTTTCTTTCTATCTATTTCAGTCTGTTCATCTCTATCTATTTATGAGCAGTATTAAAAAAAAGAACTAGAGGAGATATCCCTAGAGATGACCAGTGGAACAAGAACAGTCTACTCCTCTCACCGCCTATAGATTAAATAAAGGGAATTTGAAGTTTGAAATTCACTATAGGTTAAGCAGATCGATATACACCCGATGAAGGTCAGAGGACACTATGGTAGAAACATGATAGCAAAATAGTTAACAACAATAATCCACATGTAAATAAGGACATTATAGTATCCAGAATATTATAGTGTTCACCATAGTATTAAGAACATTATACTATTCAGAACATTATACTATTCATCAACACTAGTTACATTATTCGGACTATTGTGCTCATCTTTGTCGCCATATTTATCACAATGTTTCGGCCCTTCAGTAGCTGTCTATATTTCTGAGATGAGATATTATATACACTACTTGCATTATTCAAACTATTTTCCTCATCTTTGTCTCCATATTTATTACAATGTTTTGGCCGTTGTACGCTCCAGCCTTCGTCAGGGAGGCCACAAAAATCTCCTGAGCTGACCAAGCATAGAAATGAATACAATATGGGAACCAGTAATAAGGAGTGCCAGAGAAAAGTGATAATAACAACAAAAATTGCAAAATGAGCTCTTGTAAGAACATGGAATGATAACAGCAAAAATTGCAATATGAGCACTGGTAAAAAAGGGTTGCTGAAGACATTAGGTTTATAATACCCAGAAATTCATACACAGATGTCCTCAAGGACACATGGCACAGTGGATAAAGGTGTTGGTTAAATCCAGTGACAAGACCCAAAGAGTGTGAGTTCAATTCAAATACCCGGTTATGGCAGTGGAGAACTTGGAAAGGGGAATTAACAGGAGATAACTGATAACTGACATCCATTAAACATGGGGTGTGGAGCTAGAACAGTCTACCCCAGTGAGCAAAATAAAGGGTTCAGTTTGACATTCCAACTACCTGAAGAAGGCTGGAGCGTTCAACGGCTGAAACGTTGTAATAAATATAGTCTGAATAATGTAAATAGTGTACATAATACATCATCTCAGAAATATAGAGAGATACTATTCATCAAATTGTACTACTCACCATAATGTTCAGAATATTACTTTATATTTAACTGATGATAATATTATAATATATAATACAACATGTATGTGTATATATATGAGTTTAACGATATATAAGTTTTTATACATCAAGAATAGTTTTGGAGGAAAGTTATATGATAGAGTGGAGAAAGTTTTTGTGTAACACGTTTCATCTTTGAGAACTTCATCAGACTTTAATGGTTTTGTTGATAAAGTCAGTTTCCTATGTCAGGAAGGAGAGAAAATGTCAAAGAGGACGTTCTATTTTTATTATCTATTCTGATGATGAAAACCATCACAAAAACCTTTTCTACTTTCTCATACATTTCTCCATATATATATATATATATATATATATATATATATATATATATATATATTGCGTAAATTTAGGCAGCAATTTTTCATTAATGCATGTTTCATTAAATAATATAGACAGATTTTGTCTATTTATTTCAAGTAAGTTCCTTTCATATTGTCTGAAGAGCTTAATAACATTATCATTGAAAGACGAAAGGAAATCACCATATTGATACATGTTTAAATCAATCTAAGCTTTAAAACACATAAGCCATTATCAAAGATGACAATTACTTTTCAATATATTAACCAATACATGGATGAAACAATAATGATAGTCTGTTTTTGTTCCATGAAAAATTTCAAAGCAACAACTAACTTGTGTATATGAGACGCAGAAGCAAAATTTACGTCGTAGCTCGTGATGTCACACATGACCACACAAGAATGAAAATGAGAAAAGTATTAAGTATGGGAAACCATTGGTATAAACCAATGGCTTCTGTTATCAATTATAGGCATTTAAGAATATTTGTGGAGAAATACCAGTCAAACAAGAACAGTCTACTCCTCTCACCACCTATAGATTAAATAAAGGGAATTAGTTTGAAATTCCCTGTAGGTTAAGCAGGTTAATGTATATATATATATATATATATATATATATATATATATGCAGGATATGATGGGTAAATTATTGCCATTTTATATTTTTAATTTCATCAATGCACATTGTTTGTTTTAGATTTAGTCAACTGCACAATATACTTGGGTCTGTCAGTCATTATTTATGAGAAAAAGAGCACCATGACTCAATTTATTCAACCAGAAATTTGGAAATGGCATGCTGTACTGCTTGGCATTCATGCTAGAAGCTCTAATACAGACATTTCAGAGTGTTTGGGTGTCAATCTGAGAACAGTGCAAAGGATTTGGAAAGACTTAGATGAATCTAATGGTGATTATGAATGTGTTTGGATTGATCACTAATGATGGTGATGTTATGCCTCCATTCATCTTCACACAGGGCCTCAGACTAAAACAGGGAGACCTACATCAAGTGCCCTGAGGAGGTAGTGCTGCACTGGCTTAAGAGGGTGGCTGTTGGGAGACCCTTTGTCAGGCAACAGGACTCTGCACAATGACACACAAGCAGGAAAATCCAGTCATGTCTGGGAGACAATTTCTACAACCATATCAACCCTTACACTGGCCCCTAACTCCCCAGACTGCAACTCCCTTGATTATTATGTGTGGGGCACAATTGAGTGAAAGACCAATAAAACTCATTGTAACACCAAAGATGAACTGATGGCAAGGATTATGACTATGACAACATGATTATGACAACATTCACCAACTTAAACAAGGAGACCATCCAGAAGAGTTGCAGGAGATTCCAAAGTCATAAGTAAAATAAATGAAACCAGTAAATAAACTAATTAACAAACAGCAAACATAGACATAAACAAAAGTAGATGTGATAATAACAACTAACAATAAAATAATCAATAATAAAAAAAGTTAACAAACAACACAAACAAATAGCCAAAAAACTGCATTTAGATCTACAATCATAGGGAGCAAATCCTCTCACTCAAATAAAAATCTCCAAATGGACAAATATATTTGAAAATAACATTAGTCTTAGGATAGGAGTCGTTGGGAGAAATATTATTTTTTAAAATTAAATTGCTAGTTTTAAATTTTTTATAAAAATGTTAAATCTTAAATGGTTATTTTTTATGCAGGTTTAATTATGTATTAATTATTAATTATTATTAATTATGTATTATTTTTATATATCTTTTAAAAGAAAAAAGGGATAAACTTACTGTTATCAATAATTTAATCCAAAGGTTCAATAATTTAATCCAAAGGTTTAAATTAATCTCTTCATTTAAATAATCGCCACATTTAAAATAATTTCTCTTAAAGAATTAAGTAACATTTTTTTTATTATGTCATCCCTAGCAAGGCAATAAAGCCACTAAGACACAAGGGGTGGTTACTGAGTGCTAATGAATATGGGAAAAAGAAAAACATTATTAAAGTGAAAGAAAAGGAAATAAGACATAAAAACAAAAACTTCTGAATAATTTCCTGAATTATATTAGTGACTACCAAATTATATTAGTGACTACCAAATTATATTAGTGACTTCTAAATTATATTAGTGACTACAAAATTATATTAGTGACTACCAAATTAGACTTTTCTTACACAATAATAATTTTAATATAAACCTTAGTTTTCAAGATAACTTTAATAATAATACTATTAACATATACCAGTTGAGAATCCTTTATGTGAAATTCTTGGAATTGGAAGTGCCTCAGTTTTCAGATTTTCTTTTTGATTTTGAAATACAGGCTATTTAATTTGTATATAGAATTTATAAAATAGTGCATCTTGGGAATGGAATCAAAACATAAACACGATATTGTTTTACATTTCATGACATAGCTTACACATACACCCTGAAGGTAGGTTTATATAAGTAACATATGTTCACTCCAATGCTGTCAAATCCACTCCATCAATACACGATTGAGATCATTTTTTGCTCTGTGCCGTATTTTTCTATTTTTCATTGATTTCTGTTCATCACATTCATCAGAAAATCTTTAACAATTTCTCCTTCTGTTTCCTTAGGTTGTATATGGTGGTTGTTCCAACATCAAATTCCACAGTCACACATTTCACACTTATACCCCTGTCTAGTTTTTCAAACAGTTTGACTTTCTGTTATATAAACATAAATGATTTCTTTTTTTTTTTCACTACCCATATGAGTATCTGTAGGATATTTTGAATAATATCTTTACTGAGCACAGAACACCTGCTAAATAATACACAAATGAAGATTTGCTGTGACGATCACTGACAAAAAACTGGCACCAACATAGGCTATGTAGCTGGGCTG